CCAAGGCGATAACTAAACGCAATTGTTCGGTAGGAATCCCCTATAGACAAAAATCTGAAAATGAAAAGATTTCATAACATTTAATGTGTTTCGTACTGTACATAGTTTCATTCGTGGATTTTTTTTAATCAGGAGTAAAGAATCGATGGGAAGGACTACGAGCTCAATATCGAAAATACCTCGCTAAATTGAAGACCAAAAGTGGCCAAGCAGCTACAAACATTTTAAAACGGCGGTATCACGACCAAATGCAACAATTTATTAATGACTTCATAAATTGTGATAGACCACGAATATCTACTATTATGCATGAGGAGGAAGACAATGATAATATTCATGATATGGATATCGAAGAGACAGATGGACAAACAACTCTGTCGAAAGAAACTGATGCCAATGAAGAAGTTGAACTGGACATTGATCCTGTCAATACGAACTGAACAGAAAAATACGGGAGTGCAACAGGAGAATGCATCATCGACCCTAATGAAGTATATTTTAGATAAAAAAGCACAGGAACGTACAGCACACCATATCAACAATTTTTTTGAATTGATGGCTGGTACCGTTAAAACGTTTTACATAAAAAATAAGGTATTCACTCTTGTAAGTGAAATTGAAGAAAAATATATCACAGTTGCTTCTTCGCCCTTCTTATCACCAGCAACTGTTCACCATTGTCAAGTATCAAGTATCAGTATTTTTGGTCAAAATTCAGCAATTTTGGAACGAATTTCGCTGCCACACGCTTCATGCCCGAAATTTCTGAAAAAAATGCTCAGCTACTTATTTTTGATCGATCGATCAAATTGTTTCATATTACTCATGCCCCAGAAAAACGATATACTGGATAAAGCAGTTTGTAACTCTTTTTATATAAAAAAAATTCAAAATTTGAATATTTTTCGTATACGCTCTAGGAAAAAATCGATAAAAGCAATGATTGGTATTGATGTGAACATAAAAGACTGCAGAGCTTCAAAAAAATTTTCGCCAGTGCATACTCCTCGGGAAAACTACAGTCGAAATCATAAAGCTGTAGCCATAAATGATCAACATTTTCAGGAGTTCTTGTTCTGAAAATTATAGTGTGAATCCATATTTTATACGTTGTCACGAAAAATCTGCCATACGAAGAAGTAAATACATTTATTACAGGCTTGATATTGCGCGTATTGAATATTATTTCGAAGATTTAAGGATTTGACTTTGAACGACCTTCAGCTAAATGGACGAAGGCTTTTGAACTGCGTTGATGACCTCTATATGCGTCACACAGGTGACTTTGTCGTGGTGTTTTGGGTTTAACCTTGAATGACCTTCATTCACTTCACATATTTTCGACAAGGTGACTTTCACCTCGAATGAACTCGAGCCAGTTATACGGCTTGAAGTTTTGAAACTATACGACACAACATATCCAAGGTGATATTGAGGGGGCGTTTTGAGTTTAACCTTGACCGACCTTGACCTACGCCACACGACGCAGGCAAGGTGACTCTTCAAGGTAGTATTTTGGGTTTAACATTGAATGATCTTCATTGATTCACGCGGCTATTTCGAAGATTTAAGGATTCGGCATTGAGCGACCTTCAGTTGCATGGACGAATAGGCTTTTGGAGAGCGTTTTCAGTTCGACCTTGAGCAATATCATATGCCTTTGCTGAAGTGAGTCACGACGCAGGCACGTATAGAGCTAGGAGTGGGAATAGTTTGGGGCGCTACCACGACCACAACCGAATCATATAAAAGTCGAGTTGCGATCCTGAACCTCACTCATCCGAGAGAGGGACAAACACAGGAGGCCAAAGAAGGAGAACCAAAGACCACCCCCGAGAGTCGCTGTCAGGCCGCTCCGGTAAGTATAAAAATTTCTCAACCAGACTTCAAGTTGATCTCATTTTCAGATTCACTGAGAACCAACACTTGCTCGCGATTGAATACACTCGTCTCTGGTTAGTTTTTGGGGACCCCATACAAAAATTCAGTTAGGAAAGTCATGATGAAACAATACAATAGATTAGAAAGTAAAAACACTTAGAGGCTGACTTTCGACCAAAGAAGGTCAGATGTCAATCTTGCTGAAGTGCCCATCAGTAAGTTGAGGACCGCTTTGGAAGAGCGGGGGTGGATGTACGAGATGGGATGTTCTGCAAACATTGACCGTGTGGAGAAGATTTCAACTCGGGGCATTCAACCCGAGAGGGGGCATGGGGGGGGAACTCACTCAGTATATAAGAGAGCACGATCTCTATAATGCAGATGGGTCAGAATTGGTGTGGGGCGTGTGAGAGGTCGCTAACAAAGTTCACAAGAGTCTCAACTTACATACTTAGTATACAATAGTGTCAAACCTGTAACACATTAACCGTGGGCCTTCTGGCCAGTAAAACAACAGACCTTTTCAGGGCTATATAATTCATACAAACAGTAGTAGTTGCACTAGTAGTAGCTTATGAAACCGAAAAAAAATCGTCGCAAAATGAGAGTTGGAAATTTTGGTATCTATCAATTTTTTTCGTATGATCGATATTTTTCGATTTAAACCCGAGAAAAAGTGGGATGTAAAATCTTTTCGTTGTATCATCACGTTTATTTTCAATTTCACGAAAAAAAATTGTTATGAGCAAAGCTGTATAAATTGAATTCCCTACAATTTTGGTTCATATAAATTTTTTCGTAGGATCGATATTTTTCGATTTAAACCCTAGAAAAAGATGGGGTAAAATCTCATCATTGTATTATCGATTTTATGAAAAAAAATTGTAATGAAAAAAGTTGTACAAAATTGAATTTCCTATAATTTTGGCTCTCATCAATTTTTTTGTAGAATCGATATTTTTCGATTTATACCCGAACAAAAGAGGGGCTGAAATCTTATCATTGTATTATCACGTTTATTTTCGATTTTACGAAAAAAATTGTAATGAACAAAGTTGTACAAAATTGAATTCCTTACAATTTTAGTTTCATCAATTTTTTCGTAGGATCGAAATTTTTCGATTTAAACCAGAGAAAAGGAGGAAGATGAAATCTTATAATTGCATTATCACGTTTATTTTCAATTTCACAAGAAAAACTGTATTGAAAAAAGTTGTATAAAATTGAATTTTCTACAATTTTGGTCCTCATCAATTTTTTCGTAGGATCGATCTTTTTCGAATTATACCCGAGAAAATGGGGTAAAATTTCATCATTGTATCATCACGTTCATTATCAATTTTACGAGAAAAGTTATGAGAAACCAAGTTCAATAGAAGTTGTTCAATGAAAAAAATCACTTTCTTCTCTCGGATATAAGACGTACGATATCGATCCTAGGAAAATTTTGTATCAACCAAAATTGTAGGAAATTTAATCTTGAACAACTTTTGTAATAACTATTTTTAGGGAATACATAAGAGTTTTCCTGTTAAATTGACCAGTCTTCTGGTTTGCTATCAAAAAAAGGTAGTTCCTTAGCAATTGCATGATTATTCCAACAATTTCCCCTCGAAACACTTCTAATGACATCGGCAACAACATGACATAGTTTTGAAACGTCATTTTCCTGTGACATACTTGTGTTTTGAATTTTCATTTTTTCTGGTGACTTCACACTTATTGACCCATTCTTGTACTCCTCTGAACATGCTTTCTTCATCTGTGCTCTCTGCAAACGATATTCTTGAACTGATATCTCTTGTAAAGCATAGCTCTTTCTCTTCAATTCTAGTTTCAGCTAATGATACATGAATTACATAGATTTGAAAGTAACAAATAAATCTGTTTAGAAAAATCTGTCTAAAATCTGTTTTTCCGTTAATCAGCTGTCGCCCCCATACGAACGACAACTCTCAGAAGTTGAGAAACTTGTGCGAGCTAAGGACTATCGAGGTCTTACCTTTTAACGTGTGATTCCTAACACGGTTGCAGAATCATTCCCGCTTCAACTAGATAAATTCTCTTGAGAAAAGTATCTGGTCGAGGCGGGAATCGAACCCACGATCTTCCGATCGAGAGTCGGGCGCACTACCACCGCGGCCAATTCCACAATAAAATATATATAATCTATATATCATCTATATCGAATACTGGAACCGGATGTCACGCAGGTAACTAAAGCTGCCCCGTGGTGACTTCAGTGAAATCTCTAACCCGAGACGACCTCATCGAAACCACAAAGTGCGGCTGGCATCCATTGATGACTCCATGCATTTGTTTTGTTCATGCAACCAAGTGTTGCCTAACCTTGCACTTGGCTATACCGTACTGATGACAGCTAATGAGCTAGAAACACATATGTGGTTTGCTTTTTTTTTAAGCGTCGTTCATTAATTTTCCCTGCTTTTGATTATAGCGTTCTCATATTTTTATAATTCCATTGTATTGTTTGTCTTCTCAATTTCAGATAATACTTTTTTTCATCCAAGTTTTTCGTATAGGGCTATCATTCCCGCTGCTGATATTTTTAATATTTTTTTTGACTTTTTTCTCATGGATTTCAAATCTGTTAACATTTTTTCGGGCAATGGAAGTTCGAACCTCTATTCATTATTACAATGACGTCAACTTCTGCAGAGAACAAGTTGATTAACAAAATACTTGCTCATCAAGAAGCACTTACAAAAGTAATGAAAGTTTCACTTTTTCAATAGGATAAGCATTTAATCAATTAATACTAAAATGAAATTTTCACGTGAAAGAAAATTAAAAGTAATTTCTGTTGGAGTCAGGTAAAATATATAAATACACATTGAGAAAAATACGCCGTAGAATTACTTTTGATGAAATCATCTAAAGGAACAATTCGTTCAGGCCAGTCTCAACATCCTACACAGTAGGTTAATGGACTGACACCTATCAGAAAACAACTACTCCCCTGGCTAATACCACGAAGGGCGTTGGATTATATCTTGATGATATCATCTTTATGTTGATGATATACACTACCTTGCACTGACGAGTGGCCAAACAGCCCGAAACCGGTCTGCAAGTGTGTTCCAATAATTGAAAAAAGATCATCAATAATGTTACAATATATTAATTCAATATACATAGTATACATACTTACTATTTACATTCAATAAAATTAATCTGAAAGCTAAAATGAACATGTCAATATTTTTAAGCCTGATCAATTTTATGATTTCTAGCTAAGGTGATTTTGCCATTCGTTATTTGTATTCATTTTTCACTTCTTTGATTTCACAATATAATTACAGGGTAGTAACTAATTGATAAATACTATTTTTCAGACTGGCGAAGCAGGCTGTGGAGGTACCCACCTCAGACAACTGGGATCTACTTCTTTCAAATGAGAGACACGTTTCTTTGCTCTTTCTACGTATTCGTCAAGCACATCCTGTTTCTTCAGTATAATGTGCTTTCCTTTCCAATATTTCATCATACCTAGTGCTTGTAACGTTGAGACAATATCATATGAATGTATTGCCATTTCTTGACTGATATCTTTAACGGACAGCTGAGCACCTGCTCTAGAGCACAGGTAACCCAATAGAACGTCTTTCCAATAGGACCGGTAAGAAATGAGACCAAGATCACTGAGTGGTTTTTCAGGAGAGCCAATCTTACCTTCTTCACGAGTCAAAAGGTAACTGAAGTCTATGAGTAATCTTCCATAACCTTGTCGCTGATAAGGTGGTAGAGTAAGTATACAGGATACATTATAATTCAGTAAAGAATTTTTCTCTTTGCTAAAGTAACCTACAGTATGACAACCTTCATTGTCAACCAAAGTCATCACATAAAACAGAAATGGTTCCACATCATAATATAGAGTCTTATGATCCAGAAAGAATTTGGCTAGTAAACACAAGTTCTGGCAATACTGCTTATATCTTTTGCCATCTACTTCCCACACACTAATTTTATCTTTACGGTACACTTCTTCACCAGGTGGATGGCGCCAGACACATTTGACCACATGTCTTTCAAGTATAGTCTGCGATTTCATATAACGCAAGCAGTATTCACAGATATAGAGTTTTGGAAGGCGAGCATAATCTTCAGGATATGGACTCTGATACCACACTTCCATCTCAAATTTGCCCATCTCTATGTATTTGGTTCCCTTTGTACTGGGAAGGTTCTTAAGATCCTCCTCAATTTTTTCACTTGCCAACGCTTGCGCATCCTGAAACAATTTTAGATCATAATCCAAAACAAAGTTTTTCAAATCTGGTTCACGAGTCTTATCCACCAAAGGTTTATTTTCAGTAGGTTCGATTTTACACTTGAGCCTTATATCTCTAATCTTTTGCAAGAATTGTTTTTGTTCAGGAGTAACCTGAGGTCTAGGAGTCTTCCTATGAAACTCTAAAGCCTTCTTACGAACTTCCTCCCTTTTCTGCCGTTCTTCTAACTCATGCCTGCACATTTCCAAAGTTTTATTGTGATAAGTAGGACAAGCCTCAAGGGTGAAGTGTTTTTCAGATTTTCCACTCAAGTGACCAATGCTGTCACAACCTTCAAGAGGACAGCATCGTTGCTCTAAAATAATAGATTCACTATTTTTATTTTTAGTATCTTCTCTTTTTATATTTTTTGTTTTACCTTTGGTGACTATTGGTGCTTTTTTCACAGGTGACTGAGACAAAGAACGTTTTGTGCTCTCAGTATCTGAATCGGTGTCTGAGTATACATTTTTGCCTAACACATGTTTGGATTTCCTTGTATTCGCAGATCTCGTTAGTTTTCGTGTTACTTGTTTAGACTTATCTGAAGTTTCAATCTCAGAATCACTATTGGCAAGGGCTTCTTTTTGCACAACTGATGGTTTCTTTACTGGCTTTTTAGCTATTCTTCTGCTGTTTTCTGCAGATTCAACACTACTCTCAGATTCTGAACCACTACTTGAGCTTACTGATGTTGTCCCAGAACTAGCTGATGTTTCAGGTGCTGGTTTCGATTTGGATGGAGTTTTTTCTATCTTTTTTTCAGATTTAGATTTCTCCACAGCTCTAGCAGCTGCTTTTGCTCTTGGCTCTGGTTTCAGTTTTTTTTTGTTTCCTTTACTCTGACATTTTACTCCCTTTGGGGAATCAGATTCGGAGCTATTATCAGGGGAAAAAATGCTTTTCTTTTTAGGGTCAATAGTTTTGGCAGATGATGCTTTCTGAACTCTTGGTTTGGGGGCATCTTTGCCTTTCTGCAACCCTTTAGTATTTACAGATTTTCCCACTGGTTTTGTGTTAGAAACATTTTTCGGAGCATTTGGATTAGACCTAGGTGTAATGGTAGCATTACTTTTAGGTTTAACATTGCTCTTTCGTTTTATATTCTTTTTCACATCTTCTTCATCAGTTGTGTATGCAGATTCCTTAATCTGTAGTTTTGCAGGCTTAGATGTTTGTGACTTCGTTTTAATTGATGTTTTCTCTGGAGGCTTATTGGCTGATGTTTTATTTTCAATACTTTTACGGGATTTCTTTAGTATGGGACCGTCCTTTTTTGCAATTTCTGATCCTGAATGTTGTTTGGTCGAGTCCCGAGACGTTGAAGTATCACTGTCACTAGAAGAAGACGTACCTGAGGCACCCGAGGAAGAACTGGAACTTGACGATCCCGATGAAGAACCTGAACTTGATTCTGTTGAACTACCATTTGCCTTTTTTTTGTTAGTCATAATGTATTTTCACTGTTTGTAGTTTTTATAAAAGTTAACATTTAACCTAACCTCAAACTCATTATTTTTATGTCATTTGAGTCATTTGCATTTGTCATTTATCGTTAAAGATATGTTCCGAAAATAACCACTTCTTCTTCTTAATCGCCACTAACCAGATAAAAGCCACCTGGGGCGAAGCCTTGAGAGGGCGCTGGAGGGTGCAAGGTCAAGACTAGGGACCGTTTTATAGGTTCGGTTTTAACTACGATTGGAGTTTAAACTATGGACACAGTAGAATAATACAACCAGTAGCTATCTTACCACGTGATCCGCCCGAGTTGCCGGGGACTTTCAACCACTCTTAGGATGAGATTCTCATCCAACCCGTTCAGAGCTGTAGTATCGAAGGATTTGACGATACCACGGACATCGGATTAGTTATAATAAACGGTCGGAAATTGATATTGTGTTTAATTCATTATGATTATGGAAATGAGGCAGTTTTATGGTCCAACTTACTTCCCGTAAACAAACCAAGTTATGCTGCCTTCAATGTATGGATGAAACGGCTATTGTCTTTTGTTACTCTGAGTTTTATTCGCTGTTGTTATTATTGTTTTTAGTTTTTGTAGTTGGTTAAAAGGAATTTACCGCAAAATATTCTATAATAACTTTGAATTTCGTTTATATATGAACGCACGCCTAGGGTAAAAGGTAAAAGAACGAAATTGGCTCCGCAATTCGTTTCGAGGTCACTGAGAACTTTGGGAATTTATGAATGAAAGTAGTTGGAGTGGACCTGGTTGATTTTTTTTACTATGCTATAGATTTGACAAGTAGGTCGTTTTTATAGGTTATCAAGGAGAATAATATCTGATGATTGCAGGGCTACTCCTGGCTATACAATTGTACGAATTGCTATACAATTCAATATTTTTTTCGTACATGCATACCACATTAACGAAAAGCATACATTTTGACTTCATTTGGTTTTGCATTGACTCGAACAAGTCCACGGTTATATATTGACAAATTTCAATCACTTTTTCCTTTAACAGTCGAGTAATCTGTCTATCTCTGTCTTCCATCTCATTATGATAGGCGTATCCCGCGTGCACCATAATCGTCTTTTGTCTAAGATAATCGTTGTCCCGCGTGTCCGTCTGTCATAGAAGTCATATATCACGATCACAGAGCACAAAGTACTTAATTTTCAGATCAGTCAAATCTGTCGAAAACCGTCTAGGATAAAAATCGTTATGGATGAGGTTAAAACTGGTATATGGTATCCAAGTGCAAATGAATACTGTTTTGGAAATACTAAGGATAGCTGATCCGGAAGGTGTTGAGGCAAGGTCACGTAGGAGGCTAAAGCGATGTAAATAAATAGTTCCAAGACCCAGTTTTATATGGCAAGCACATAGATGGTTATGATAAATTGAAGCTATTTGGTTATGCAATCCACGGAGCTATTGATGGATTTTTCAGAAAAATATTGTGGCTACGAGTAGCTTCAAGTAATAACAATCTCAGGATAATAGCGTCACATTACTTAGAAACAATTAGACAATTGTGAGTTATGCCATTGCTGAGAACAGATGAAGGAACAGAAAATATCATAGTTGGATCTTTGAAGAGTTATTTAAGGTATTATTACAATGATTATTTAGTAGGGTTCAAGAGTCATATTGAAGGAAAGATAATCTCCAACAAACCTGAATGTTTCTGGTCACAAATGCGACGACAGGGTATGAGTTCTTGGATAAGTTTTTTCAAAGATCTCAAACACAATATGAATTATGATGATAGTGATCAGCTAATATCGATTCTATTATTCAGGGTGAACTAGACCTTTTGGTGAAAGAATGGAACACACATACCATAAGGAAACAAAAAAAAATATAGAACTTCCATGTGACAAACCACAAATTATGTATGATATTCCACAGCTATTTGATACAATTGTCTATGGAAAAGATGTCTAAACCGACGTGTTCACGGAGACAAAAAAATCTTCTATGTACGAACATCTATAAGTAAGGAAGACCTCAAAATCTTACATACATGTAGTAAAGGAAGGAAAATGAATTCGTTGGAAGCCATGAAAATCAATGAATCAATTAAAAACTCATAATATACAGCCCTTAACGAATAAACAGATTTGTGTAGGTCTCCACTTTTGAATTTATAAAGATAACAACGCAATTAATCACAGTTTGAAGTTTATGTAATTGGTATTAGTGAATGTAGGTATATATCTTATTACCTACTCTCGGATATATATACTCCGATATTTCTCTTAGGTCAGTAGTGTTAGAATACTTGAGAATGGTGTAAAAACCGAAACCTTGGTCGTAATGTATATCAATACATTAAGTAAGTGGAAATTATACAAAGTACTTTATTTCTATATCTATATCATTTAATTGAAGATGAATTTCCACAAAATAAATAAGTCATCAATATCACAAATTACGCATTGGTCAAAGACGAAACGGATTGGTTTAAGTTTGACGATAGCCATGTCACTAAATATTCTGGCGATATTTTGAATTCATTGGAGCTTCTAGAGACACCCTACTTTTTATTCTATGAAAGAGAGGACATTGGTAGATCAAGATCTTCAGATGATGTAGTGCTGCAGGTTTTTCTGGGGTTTCCTGCAGAAAGCAAATGCGAAAAACTACTACTTTATTTTTTTCTATCTCGTCATTTGTAATGTTCACATGCACGCCCAAAACGCTCCGTAATCCATTCCACTTGAGTTTACGACAATTACGCTCGCAAGCAAGTGGAACGGGAAAAACTGCGGTCGTGAGTGTGATCGTTGTGAACGCTTAGTGGAACGCACACATTACACTGTAAATTTTGAAAATGTCATGTCTGATTGCACACTTTGAATATATTCTAAATTTATGCTACTCATAAATTTATTTCATTTTGTTTAATTAATTATTCCATTGATTACTTATGAGATTGAATAATGGAATAAGTTACGAAATTAGGAATGAATTACGAATAACAGATAACATTTATGTCATATTTCAAAAATTGCGCCGAAATATTATCAACGCCCACTTCGACCCACCTCTTCCAGTGCGTTCCACTAAGCGTTCACAACGCCTAAAATACTCATTCAGGCGTTCCACATGGCGACCGCGATCGTTGTGGTCGCGGCGAAAACGTCATTAATGACGTTTTCGCCGCGACTACACCGATCGCGGTCGCCATGTGGAACGCCTGAATGAGTATTTTAGGCGTTGTGAGCGCTTAGTGGAACGCACGGTCTGAGGGCAAGCTCACAAAGACCCATGAATGGGCCATTGTATAAATATTGAAGCTTTTTTTAATAAGGCATGACACACTCGACGTACAGCTCTTACAGCAGTAGCTCGTCCTATGTTAAATCTGTCACAGACCGATCTATGATAAAAATAAAAAAAGGGTTTAATTTTATACTTGTGAATTATGGTATATAATACTAAAATGGTTAATTTAAAAAAAATAACCTATAAGAATCTGTTGTGGCCATTTTCCAAAAAGCTATCATCAATTGATGACGGAAAGGAATTGTAGGACATCCGGGAACACGTCGGACTGAATTTTCTTGTATCAGCTCATGTGAATAATTTAATGTACATCTTGAAAGTCTAAAGAGATCAATAAAGAATTCCATGAGTAAAATTTTCAAAAGTGATAAAAAGTAATTTAAGGAGGTTAGGAAAGGCTTAACATAAGTTTTAATAATTGCAAGCTAACATTGTTTTTACTAAAAAAAATATAATTTGATTTTTTGTATATAAAAGATGTCAGAGCTTTCTCATATTTCATTATTACATTTATAAGCTCAAATTGTTTGCTAAATCGAATTGAATATTTCAAAAAATTAGTTAAAATGTCTTTCGATGTATAGCTCTTTGACCCTCTTCATCAAATTCTCTTTTCGAAACCCACATTTTTTTAAAGGTGTCAAGTGATGCTAAAATTGATCCTCCTATCCAAGTTGAATATAACCGTTCTTGTGGTGCGGATATCTGAAAATTTAAATCGAAAAATTAATACAATAACCTTTGTAATACTTATCTAATATTTTCATTGAATTCAGTTATGTATCGATCAATAAGGAAATGGGATATCCAGGAATTTCAAATGTACAGAAACAGGCACGTTAACTGTGAGAACCTTCACAGAATATTATAGATTAGCGCACACAAACGCAGACAAAAATTCTAAAAATAATTGTTCCATTTTTGCAGTCAACGCACATACCACTGATGATGTTTGCCGCAGTAGCAGACGAAACGGCTTACTGCACCAAAATTAGAAGAGGAAACTGACAACTGACATCAAGATGATGTTTGATTACATTTTAAACATGATTAAAATTGTTCATTCAAATGAATGAGAAATTTCTATAGAGACCAATTGTAGATAGTCTTGACGAAGACCTAAAAAAATGGCCCCTTTTTTCGGGAAAATTATGAAAAAATGAAGCAGAAAGAAAAAATGTGTGAAATGAATGATAAGTCTGAAAGCAGTTTCCAGAATGATGGTTGACATGGCCTTGACCGATTTGATGAGAATCATCTATCGAGACGACGATCTTATCTTTCCCAAACAAACTTACGATTTTATTAAAGAGAAAAATTCGAAAATATGTGAATGACAACATGATTTATGAACTAGTTAACCACTCTTGTAATTGTGGAATTGGCCGCGGAGGTAGTGCGCCCTACTCACGATCGGAAGACCGTGGGTTCGATTCCTGCCTCTTCCAGATATTTTTCTCGAGAGAATGTTTCTGGTTGAAGCTGGGATGATTCTGCAACCGTGTTAGGAATCACACGTTAAAAGGTAAGACCTCGTTAGTCATTAGCTCGCACAAGTTTCTCAACTTCTGAGAGTTGTCGTTCGTATGGGTCGACAGCTGATTAACGTTAGAACAGATTTTTTTTCAACTCTTTATCTACTGCGTTGTTTGGATTTATTCCCACAACTAAGAAATTTAGTCAAGATGAAAAAAGAGCATCTGAAACCATAAACGCAACTGTCAAACGTGATGAAAATCAGTTAATCAAACTTCTGTACAAAGAAGACACAGTCAATCTTCCACAAAGAAAGACATTTGTTTTCAACACACTTATACTGAAAAAAAATGTAGAAAAGATGAAAACCTTTCCAAAAATTACTGTGAGAAAATTATTCAATATTCAGAAAAAGTTTATATGAAGAAACTCACAAAGGACAAAGCAACAATCGAGAAACCGAATACATGGTATATGCTACACTTTGTAACAACAAAACCAAACACACCAAAGAAAATTAAAATTGTCATTGATGCACCTGCAAAAGCGAATGGAATGCCAAGATATCACCATATGCATCCCACAAGCTTGATCCAGCTTTTGCTCGCGGAGGACAAGCTGCCTGCTCCGGGACGAGCTGCCTGGTGGAGGTTTGTTGGCAGTCTAGGGAGCGCACTCGGCATCTTCCGCACTGGGAGCAGAACAGGCGGTGGGGTTTGTGACAGTAGGACCGATAGTAGCCGGGAAAGCCGCCTGCAGAGGCTTTGGTCCACATGCATGTACGTTGGGTATTGACTCCTTGCTGGACGGACGATGGATGTGTATTTTGGTGGTACGGAGAACGTGGGAGGAATTAGACGTACTACTCGATCCCTACTCCTTAATGCTAATTTGATGGGATACTTTTTAGCTCTACTGAGGACGATGGTGTTCATCTATTAGTTGACGTGTAATCAAGTGTTGATGGTCTTGGTAACCTGTCTTCGGCTGTTCTCTAAGTCAAGAGTAAAGTCATTGGATACGAAATCTTGTAGCTCTAATTGTGTCATGATAGACTTTGGTGAGTGAATGTATCATTTCTCCGTTTCGGTTGGAATGGTTACCTATAAAATTTGCTCCTCTTGGTCAATAAAATATTGTAACATGGTTTTCCTTCACTTTGCTTTTCTTCATTCAGGTAACTCGGTTGGAAAAAATGTGTCCGGGAACAAGTACAAAGGAACGTCAAGTGATATAAAATGAAACTTTATTCTTAAGAACCATTCACAAAGAAATCAGGGATCATATTATGTACAGAAATGATTAACTCTATTTACAAATGATTCAGTTAAGTTCTGGAAAGAAACCAGTAGTCGGATTCGTCGGTTCTCAGAACGCCGATTGTCTCGATGTAGACTCGGCAGGCATCTAACACAGTATGATATTCCAGGACGGTCGGACCGACAACAAAGGGTCCTTCATGGGGATTGTCGGTTCATTTAGATCGAAATCGGTGGCAGAGCCACTTGAAGACGCCTTCCTCCACCTCAACACGCTGAAGACGGAACGCAACGGAGTGACTCAATCCCTCGATAGTATCACCAATAGGTCTACACTCAGGAAGACACAAGACTATTGTCACTGTCGAGTGATATACAGTATATCCTAATCCCTGGTTTGTCAAGCTTTTAACTGAAGTAACATTAGGGGTGTGTAGCGAGCCCCATCGGTGGTCACTATCTAAACCAGTGTTTCTCAAAGTGTGCGCCGCGGCGCCCTGGGGCGCCGTGGAACCTTTACTGGGGCGTCGTGGGCCACGGGTGAGTCTCAAGGTACAACGTTTTACAACATAGATAACTGAGTAAAAGTAATACGTCGGTACCTATTGATACAAATCCTCTGATAATATGATAATATCGGTAATTGCAAAATGCAATCCGTTCAGACAGCCACCTACCTACATTTATTAATTAAATATCTAGTGTAATCTTTACGTTCGGGGCGCCGCGATAACCTTCAAAAAACATAAGGGAGCCGTGAATTCGAAAAGTTTGGGAAACACTGATCTAAACTACTGGTTCAATGCCTCTAGCCACCTTGAATGGAAATAGCGTATATATACTGAGTAACACTATTCAGGAATGGTCACACAATTATTATCTTCCTCTTGAAGATGATCACTTGGTGATCGAAACACGTGTTGAGGTGTTAAAATAACAGTTTGGTGTTGGGAAAAAACTCCAGTAATATTCATTACCAAAGGTTCCAAACAGTGTATCACAAGTATTCAAGAATGGAGTTGGATGCTCCTTTACGACACAAATGGTATTACGTGTTGTGTCCCACAAGCTTTGATTCAGATTGGACCAAACTAGTTCAGAAGACGCAGGACCAAGCCGAAGGTGTGGAATCGTCAAATCAGCTATTGGCGCAATGCGCTAATCCCGGCGGGCGGTTGGTTTCTTGCTGGAGTGACGGGTAAACCATTTGGATATTAACGAGGCTGTCTGCAGGGGTGAAAAACATCGAAGATGTCTCCCTATTCAGCTGTTGACAACTCAGGGGTGGGTGGTATGGGCGTCAACGGTTTTAGGAACGACACTGACGAGGTAGAGTAGCTAGCAGAGCTTGTATTACCAGGGATTTGATGAAGGTCAATTTCTGGAAGATAGACAAGACGAGCTAGTTTTCGAGTTGGAACGGTTTCAGGTCTGAAGTACGGAGGTCAAGTTATACTATTTTTTCAATACTCCATCTCCAACGTGGCATCTTCTCAATTTCTACTAACTCATGAAGTTCCTGTACCGATTCGATATTATTATTTAGGTCGTTCATGAGATGGTACAATGCCTTTGGATGTTCCAATTCTCCTCCAAACATCAAAAAAGTGAGTATCAATGCAATGGAATCGTGTTAGGCGGTGTTTAAAGCGAACTGTGTTTGGAAATAAGAATATTTATAGTTTCATTGGCCTGTTCTATCGGGTTCGCTTGAGATGTGTTAGGCAGTGTAAACTGGTGTTGTGAACTCGTGAAGTCGCTTTTTTTAACGGACCGATTTGAACGCATTTCGTAAAACGGTCCTGGAAAACGACACACAAGTAGCAATTCCCTTTAATGGAGCAAGGCAGAGGACACACTAAATCAATCGAAACGGTTGTCCATGGTTTCATGTATCCTGGCGGATACATTACCCTAGGGTGTTTTTCCTGTTGAACTTTGTATTATTAGTTGACAAGGCAGGGACTCTACGAATCTCTATACATCACTGATCTTCTGAATGATTCAGCCAAAAAAAGATTTTATAAATGACTATACTTCGGATATATAAGTATCTGCCACAATATTTTCATCAAATCGATTGTGAAAACATACCTGGGAGTTTGAACCTACAAACAACATCGAATAAATCTGATTGAACAGTTAGTTCTTTATACATAACATCCTTAGTGGTCTTCTTTGAAGCATCAAATACAACTCAGCTTTATATTTACGTTATCTTCAATAAGTACACAGTGATGCCATAAAAAATATATACCATTACCAACTTTGGTTTTTGTTTCCAACTAAACATATTTAGCATTTTCAAATCAACATATTTTTCTATAAAAGCCTCATATATAGAATGCAATATTTTTTCCAGCCTACCTTTTTTCTAACGATACAAATCTATGTTTAGCCATTTCAAAAGAGTCTTCCAAGTTTAAATTTCCTGTGTCGCTTTTAGACTGTTACACTTTGTCGTAGAGACAAAAATATTTTCACATATTTTATCTTCACAACATGAAATTCAACATGAAATTCTATTTGAGGAAATTTCTTCCAGCTGTCAAAATTTTCGAAAGAGATCATTATCGTCATTGTAGGTGAACAATGTGACATTAAAATTGGAAAATGAACTGAGATAATGAGATGAACCAATTCTAATTTACTATTCTGTAGAACTGGCAGATTTATTCCCAATTCAATCAATCCCAACCCCAATAAATCCAAATACAAATCAGCTCCAATTAACATTGGAAACATTATATTCATTATCAGTAAGCTCAATGTTGAATAGAATTTTGAATCCACAAGTATCGATTAGAATTTGAGGAAGTTCACAAGTTATTTTATTCAAAATTCCACAAGTCACTGAAAAAATATTTTCATCACAATTTGAACACTTTGGTGAAAATTATCTCTACCTCTAACAAAATAACCTTTGAACTTCATTTGTAAACGATGATGTCAAACAATTTAGTTTATTATTTTCCTCTCGAGTAGACTCGAGTACAAGTCAATATATGAAATGGTAGAGATTTTGAGATTGCTAGTTTTATTTATGAATTCCTTTCTATTCTATATATGAAACGTGTTCTGGTATTTATCTTGTGGCTTTGACCGAATTTGAGTCTCTCCCAATTCAAATGTGCGCCCTTGATACCTTGTGGAGATGACGCATTTTTCCTCAAAATATATGAATGAATGAGCCTTGCTTTCAGGTGCCTTCGAAGTGTGGTGCCTTTACCTTCTGAGTGCGAATCAATTCCTTCAACTTCTGGTACCTTGAGTTTCTAGTATTCAACTAACTGTAACCTTGTCAATTTTCCATCTGAATCGTTTGGACCAAATTTATAATTGGACACTCCAGACGATAGAAAATTCTTTATAGAACGTTTACAAATACCTTTCATGGAACAGTAGTTACATCGATTCTATACGAAAGTTAATCTGACAGTTCTTTTCTCTTATAAACAATGTCACAATTTACCAAAGTAATCAAGGTATAGTTCAAGAATGGCATGAAACCTATATAGGATGATATCAAATATTATTCAATTCCAACATTCAAGTCAATGTACATCGTTGATGTCAGTAAATATTAAACTATAGGTTATGGTTTTGTTGTTGGGTCCTTTGAGATCGTGAACTCTGAAATGGTCAAACAAGCTAAGACAATTTAAGTCAGGGTCAACAGAAGACTTTCCCTTAATCTATAACAACTTTTCTCTGACGCATTTTTAACCACTTTGCTTCTCTTGTAAAATATTTTCGATAATAGATTAAAGCGATTCAACTAGTATACGTGATCTAAAGATTATAGTCAAGTGTGTTGGCATTTGCATTTGGTGAGGGTTCTAATAAGCACAGGATAAGTGTTAGAATTTACGAAAATTAGTTGGCATTCACATTTGGTGAGGTTTCTAAGAAACAAGGGATAAAATTAAGAAAATTCGTCCCTCATGATGATAAACCTATTATTACCTTTATTGCAGTTTCTTTTGGAGACATTCTTTTAATTTCTGACAATAGTCTGTCTCCAAAGCCCTTGAATAATGTTGATCCGCCAGATAGGACAATATTCTTGAACAGAACTTTTCTAAGATCTAAATCTGATTTCTGAATAGAAAACATTAGAACTTCATGTAGCCCTTCAAATTCTTCTCCTATTATATCCGGTTTAAAAAGAATCTCTGGAGCTCTAAATCTTGCTGGTCCAACTTTTATAGCCGTACCATCTGGAAGAGTATAATTTATTTGTTCAGATTCTACTGATTCTTCTTTAATTGGATTGTTTGAAAGGTAGCATGCCTTTTCTTTCAAATTCCTCACAGATTCAAATTCTGCTGTGGTTCGGAAAATAATGCCTTCTTTTCGAAGAAGTAACCTAAAAATATTTTTATTTATTAGAATAATCATAACACATCAGTTCAATATGATTTTATTTAGAATATAACAATTGTATCGAATGAAAGAAATTTTTTTGTGGACCAACTCAAAGGTTTTATCAACCTTTCTTTGAATATTTTCACCTTCCACAATCTGAAAAAAATATAAATTGTACTGGAGAATTTTATACTGCTGTGGAAAAGAGGACCTCTTTAGTTCACCCTGATTGTAGTTGGCTACCCGCCTTGAAGAAAGATAAGGATAGTGGCGAAATTGCAAGTTACTAATACCACCTCGTTCTACATCGAATGTTTAGAAGTAAATCAACAACAGTCATATTTCAAAATTCATTTGTCATCTGCCGAGGAATTAAAAAATAAAGTGGAGAGCAAAAAAAACTACGAGTATAATTAGTTTTTTCCAATTCTGAAGACGGAGGCAGATTTAAGCCTATGAATCGTCAAGTAACTGTATAACTTCTACGCAATTTTTTGTCATGCAAAATTATTGGAAATTATTTTGAACTTACGCAGTAACTTTTTGGAGGGTACTAAAAAGTTTGTCTTTTCTTCAACTGTGTAAAATTCTCTATTATAATTTTTTTCAGATTGTAGAAGGTGAAAATACCCAAAAAAAGGTCGATAACAATAATTGCAATGGGATAAATTTACTGAAACTAAGATCCAAACTCCAGACATCACCAGAAGACTGTCGAAACGTTGTGGAAATGATCCATTAAAAAAACTATTGCTATCACTAAACCTGTTGATTTTCTATTTGAAACGTGATTCAAATATATAAATATCAAGAATGATATGGAATTCAATCATATAATTTTAAATGTGTAAGCTTGTCAAAGTTAAAACTTATCACATGTGAAGAACATATTTTATACTAACCAATGTAACTTTATATCTATGAATATGTAAATCACAAATCATACAGTAACGTTTGTAACACAATAAGATACTTACAAAAAGCACTATTGATTTAGGAAAATTATCAAATGAGAAACAATAATTCTGTCTGTCTGTTCAAAATCTGTTTTTTCGTTAACCAGCTGTCGCACCCCTACGAACGACCACCCTCAGAAGTCGAAACTTGTGCGAGCTAAGGATTAACGAGGTCTTACCTTTTAACGTGTGATTCCCAACACGGGCATAACTTATTATTGAGAACAGTGAAATTATGGTGGAATTTAAATAAAAATTGTTTGGGATACACCTACATACAATAAGATAATTTGACATTACATATATGACTAATTGGAAATGTCAAAACAAGAATCAAATTGCTTCTGTCTATTTTGGTAGATTTTTTTGCATTCTCAAGCTGCCAGCAGTTAAAGCTACTTAAGCGCAGAATTGATAGAGGTATTTGCTGAATCCAACCACTAGATAAAATTTATGCTTCTCCAGGAGCTGTCTTATTCTGCATCCAGCACAGTGCAATGCAAAAATCAAATTTTGCAACCAATATTGCAGAATTTGATTCTAGCACATTTGTATAAAGTTGGGTTAATCTTTACAATCCCCTAGAGTTTTTGGCAAAACGAATGTGAATCAATGAAAACATTGATGTTTCTATGCATCTTGTTAATAAATGAACTTCTGTTCTATCCTATTTCGTGAAATGTTTCAGTATTACTTTTCGCGGCCATCCACGAATTTCAACACCAAAAGTCATTTGGTTGCACATTCTTTCATTTATTCCAGTTTGTAAATCGCAATATCCTGTTGAAACACCCTGCAAAGTTTATTCTTTTGGTGAGAAAAAGGAAATTTTTGCCGTAAGACCTGCCAAGTAAACTAATGAAGTCTTTATTTATTGTCATATTTTGGGACGTGAAATCATCTAATGATATTTCAAAAACATGTAGACCCACCTCAAACAGAGATCGACATTGTTGAATCTGATGTTTTGTAAGATTCTCTGTCTTCCCTTTTGTTTGTTCATCATAGGGGATTATTGAAATATACCAAAAATATAGTATAACATGCAGATAGTAACATTAAAAAGCAAAGTTCATATTTCAAAGTATCAAGTATGTAATGTATGAATTCAAATAAGTTGGTATTCGTGTTTCTTGACAGAATTCCAATGAAAGTTGAGTGGTAAATCAAATGTATTATAGAAACGTTTAACACCATGGAGTGGAAAGGATTTACTACAGACCAAAGATGAGTAAAATGTTCACAGAAAACACGCTTACCTTAAATATCTAGTAACATCCCTTCCTGCAATATCAGATCTCATAATACTGTGTGGTAATGCAAAGCCCTCGTAAATGGGTACAGAATGAGTAACACCATCGCCGGAGTCAAGAACAACACCAGTTGTACGACCAGTGGAATATCTAAACCAAACAATCTTTTAATTAAAGTTACACTGTCGAAAAACTGATCAAGAAATTTTACTTATTTTCATACTTACAAGCTGAGTACAGCTTGCATAGAGATAAATAAGGCAGGGACATTGAAGGTTTCAAACATTATTTCGGCTGCTTTTTCTCTGTTTGGTCTGGGATTCAAAGGAGCTTCTGTTAATAGTACTGGATGTTCTTCAGAAAACGTAGATAACTGGTCTTTACTATAAATGTAATTCCAAATTTTTTCCATGTCATTCCAATCTGTAACAATGCCGTGCTCCATTGGATACTTAATAGATAACAAACCCCTATGTTCTTCTGCTTTTGGTCCTATAAATAAATCCCCTTCTAAGGCACCTGCCATCACCCGGGTGTGTTTTGGTCGACCAACACTAAAATAATTGTTTCCTAGAACTTATCCAAATACATTTTCATACTCACTAATTTGGGAATCTGCATTTTGGGATTTGACCGCCCGCGAAGCCTGCTTTAATCACACCAGTTCCCTAAAAAAAATATTAGCTCATATTTTACTTTCTTTAATAATTTTCCCAATCTATGAAAAATCCTGACGCCTATAAATGCATATGTACCTACATTATCAATTACAACGGGTTGATTCACAATTACATCGTATGCCTCCATTCTACAAATCTTTTTTTACAAAAAGTCAGAAGTCAAAAATCAGTATCTGTGGTAGTAGTAGTACCACAGATGAGGATAGACGTAAGGAGAACCATATCTGTGTATCAGAAAGTGTACGTCCAAAGCCATTAAACCAGGGAGGCGCCACTGTATCAGGAGTATAAATTTTTAAATAAAGTGTCTGAAAGTTGAAGAATTAGTTGAGCTAGATGAAACGGTAATAGAAACCCCTGCTTGCAAAAGCTTCTTCACAATAATTCATTGACTATCAACGTTATCTCACAGTAACTTCGCTAGGTTATATTTACCAAATAATATATGACTATGTGAATAGTTACATTTCTATAAACTCTATATAAATAACAACTCTGTTCAATTAAACTATTAAATATTCGAACGCAGCACGACATGCGTTTCGCTAACCAACTTAGTGTCCTCAGAGGATTATTCTGATCTGATAGGAAGATCATAATGATATCCTGAGGACGCTTACTTGGTTAGCGAAACGCGCGTCGAGAGACCGTAATTTTCTTCTAGGGTTGGGAAAGTGTTTTCAATAAATTCATTTTACGCCAGAGGTCCCAGTACGAACTATCAAATTTCCATGAATCAAAACGCCAGTCAAACGCATAGACGCACCACAGTATTTCTGTATACTGTATATAGTATACTGTGGACGCACGGTCTGAGGGCAAGCTTACAAAGACCCATGAATGGTGCGTTCCACTAAGCGTTCACAACGCCTAAAATACTCATTCAGGCGTTCCACATGGCGACCGCGATCGTTGTGGTTGCGGCGAAAACGTCATTAATGACGTCATTACTTATGCTCACGCCTAGCTCATGACGACCCATCTCAAGAGGTGGGTCGATGTGAGCGTTTTGAGAAACTGAGAAAGTGGAACGGCAAAAACCGTGGTCGTGAGCGTGGTCGTTGTGAGTGCTTAGTGGAACGCACTGGAAGAGGTGGGTCGAAGTGGGCGTTGATAATATTTCGGCGCAATTTTTGAAATATGACATAAATGTTATCTGTTATTCGAAATTCATTCCTAATTTCGTAACTTATTCCATTATTCAATCTCATAAGTAATCAATGGAATAATTAATTAAACAAAATGAAGTGAATTTAAGAGTAGCATAAATTTAGAATATAATCAAAGTGTGCAATCAGACATGACATCTTCAAAATTTACAGTGTAATGTGTGCGTTCCACTAAGCGTTCACAACGATCACACTCACGACCGCAGTTTTTCCCGTTGCACTTGCTTGCGAGCGTAACTGTCGTAAACTCAAGTGGAATGGATTACGGAGCGTTTTGGGCGTGCATGTGAACATTACAAATGACGAGATAGAAAAAAATAAAGTAGTAGTTTTAAGGAGGTTAGGAAAGGCTTAACATAAGTTTTAATAATTGCAAGCTAACATTGTTTTTACTAAAAAAAATATAATTTGATTTTTTGTATATAATTTCAGTGAAGTATTTAAATGAATTAAGTTTGAATGTAATCAAAATGTCTTTTACGGCGATTGAATATTTGTTGATGCCTCGTAATAGTACTTCAGAAACTATTTCATCTAGTACAGATGAACTAGTTTACAAAATTATAATGGCAGAGTAATACTCTGAGAGCTTTCCGTGAGTGAAAGTAATGACGTCATCTGTGACGTTTTCGAGAAGACCACAACGACCGCGGTCGTTATATGAAACGGTTATAGGAGCATTTTGATCTCAAAGTAATAAAAGACAATAGAAGCAGCATAACTTTGTTTGTTTACGGAAAGTAAGTTGGACCAAAAAACAGTGGCGGTTGGTTTAGTTGATAATCAGAGGGATATTTATTTATGTATGGCTTTATAATAAAGGGGGTGGTTTACTGGGTTAAAATTAAATTATTTCAAATGAACTAATTCATAACAATGATAAATGTTAATTTCAAAAGTAATGAACTCTGCTTCATAAAATAAGATGAAGAAATTTGTGATTTATTCTCAGATTTGATATACAAGCGGTACGGTTTGTGAGGTCCGATATAAATAATTGTCGATTAGAAATCATGAATATTCACAATAACGATTGAGGTTTGATATTATTATGTGATTTCATTCAAAATTGGTATCCCCTTTCATAATGTCGGTCCACAAAGACCCCTAGATACCAATTTTGAAAGAAATCACATAA